GCCGGAAAAATTTGAGGCTTCGGATCCGTTTCGGGGCCCCCCTGGGCCCCGAGGGCTCCAAACCCCTGGGGAAAAGCAGCAGCAAAACTTACCACTCCAGGTCGAGGGCGTCGTCGTCGTCGTCGTCGCCGTCGTCTGCGGGTCGAGAGCTCCAGGATGGGGCCGAAAGCTCCGGGTTGGGGTCGGGAGCTCCTGGACGGGGTCGAGAGCTCTGGGGTCGAAACAGGGGCCAGGAAATTTGGTCCAAGTATCGCTGCCTGGTCCTGCAGGGGCTGGGTAAGGGTGCGTTTACACCTCCTCGTCGTCGTCGTCGCCGAGGAGGAGGAGGAGGGCCCCAGGAGTTCTGTACCACCGGCCGCTGGGTTGGTACATAATTCCTGGGGCCTTCTTGGAGCCCTCTTGGCGCCTCTTGGGGCCCTTGGGGCCCTTTTGGGGCCCTCTTGGGGCCCTCTTGGGGCCCTCTTGGGGCCCTACAGGGCCAACCAGGGGTCCGAGAGGGCTCCGAGAGGGCCCTCAGAGGGTCCCAAGAGGGTTCAGGAGTTATGTACCAGCGGCCGCTGGATTGGTACATAATTCCTGGGGCCTTCTTGGGGCCCTCTTGGCGCCCTCTTGGGGCCCTCTTGGGGCCCTTTTGGGGCCCTCTTGGGGCCCTCTTAGGGCCCTCTTGGAGCCCTCTCATGGGCCAACCAGGGGCCCAGGAGGGCTCCAAGAGGGCCCTCAGAGGGCCCCAAGAGGGCCCCAGGAGTTATGTACCAGCGGCCGCTGGGTTGTTGCACAACTCCTGGGGCCCTCTTGGGGCCCTCTCGGAGCCCTCTTGGGGCTCTCTTGGGGCCCTCTTAGGGCCCTCTCGGGGCCATCTTATGGACGGCGACGACAACGACAACGACGACGACGATGACGACGACGACGACGACGACGACGACGACGACAAAGACGACGACGACGACGACGACAACGACGACGACGACGACGACCACGAAGATGGTGGTGACGACGACGACCACGACGACGACGATGACAACGACGACCACGATGACGACGCGCCCGAAATCAGCCGACAAAGCGACCTAGTAGTTAAACCGACAAGGTGTCCTTCTTTTGGCGCAGCGGCTCCGAGACAGCCTGCAGGGCAGCCTCTTTTTGGCCGCATCGGCTCCGAGAAGCCTGCAGCTCGGCCCCCGGTGACATTTTTTCGGCCCGCCCTTTCAAGGCCCCACGGCCGGCTCTTGGGTCGAGGAAGAAGAGGAGCAAAACCAGGAGAATCAGGAGCAGGAGGACGAGGAGGTTGAGCAGGGGGACAAGGACGAAATGAGAGGCCTTAAGCGGCTCCGAAAACCCTGCAGCTCAGCGCGGTCTGGTCTCGGAGCCGCTTCTGGCCTATCATTCCGTCCTTGACCCCTTGCTCAAACTCCTCGTCCTCCTGCTGCTCCTGCTCCTCTGGTTCCTGTTGATCACCTCCTCGTCCTCCTGCCCCTCCTCCTCCTCGACCCAAAAGCTGGCCGTGGGGCTTTGAGATGGCGGCCCCACAAAACATCACCGGGCCTCGGGGTGATATGTTTTTCCTGGGGGGGGCAAGGGCGTCCGCAGACGAGCCCGCGCTGAGCTGCAGGCTTCTCGGAGCCGCTTCGGGCCTCTGATTCCGTCCTTTCCTCTTGCTCTTCCTCTTGGACTGTTTCCTCGCCCTTTGGGGCCCTTTTGGGGCCATCTTGAAGTCAGCTTGGGCCGTCTTGGGACCATCTTGTGGACATCTTGGGCCGTCGGACAGCCGAAAAAGAAAACGCGCCCAAATTATTCAACAATTGAAGGGAATAAATACAACCATTTGGGCATTTCGGGCTCTCCTGGAGGTCCTCTTGAAGACTTCCTAGACTGTCTAGGAGGCCCCTTGGATCCCCTTGGGGCCCTTGGGGCCCTCTGTGGCTGTCTTGGGACATCCTGGGGCTATGTCGAATCGTATCGTTGCCATCTTGGACGTTTTGGAGCCGTCTTGAAGGCCATCGTGGGCGCCTTGGAATTCTCGTGGGCCGTCTTGGAGGCGCCTTGGGGGCCTCTTGGACCGTCTGGAGGCCGTCATGGGGCCGTCTTGGAGGCCTCTTGGGCGCTCTTGGGGCCATCTTGGGGGTCTCTTCGGCGGCACTGGGCCGTCGGCAGGCCGAAAACGTCAAAATCCATCAAGAGCCCACGGGAAATCAGCTGTCTTGGCCTCTTCGGGCCTTCCTGCAGATCCCTTTGGAGGCTTCTTGGACTGCATTAAAAGCCTCTTGGGGGCCTTTGGGGCCGTCCTGGGCCATCTTGGGGCCATCTTGGACGCCTCGGGTGCATCTTGGGCCGTCTTGGAGACATATTGGAGCCGTCTTGGGCTCTCTTGGAGCGATCCTAGCCGCCTTGGAGGCATCTTGGTGACCATATTGGGCCGTTTGGGCCGTCTTGGTGGCGATGTGGGCCACACCTTCTGGTCCTTCCGAGGGGCAGGCGGTCTGGGCCGAAGGCCACTGGGAAGGGTTTGAAAATCAGAATCTCAGCAAAATGTCTGGCACGCCGTCCAACCCTGTGGCAAGCACAGGGGGCGGCGCACTGGGGGCGAGGAGGAGGAGGAGGAGGTTGAGGAGGAGGAGGAGGAAAAGGAGGAATAGGAAGAAAAGGACTGGGAAAAGCAGGCGAAGAGGGAGTAGGAAGAGAAACAGGGAGGAGGACCAGGAGAAGGAGGCAGGGGGTATGAGCGAGGAGACACAGTCGGACAACGAGAGACAAAGTCGGAGCAACCCCCAACCCCCAGAGTCTGGGGGCGCCCCAGAGTCTGAACAGCACTTTTTTCAGATTAGCTCGATGGAAGCTCGATGTTTGGCTCGACGTCAGCTCGATGGCAGGTCGATTCAAGCTCCGTTCCTCTCGGCGGACGTCCGACGCAGCACCGACGTCGACCGAGTGGCGCGAGTGGCTGCACCGGAAGCTCCCCGGCACGAGCGTCTGAGGTCTTCGTTCCTCGGCCAGGCTCCTCGTCGTGCGCCGCCTCGTGTGCAGGCGGGCGCCGAGGCGGCGGGCCTCGCTCCTGTGCCGGAGGGGCCCTCTCTCGGGGCTGGACAGACCTCCTACCCTGACGCGTCGATTGAGGAATTGGCCGTTCTCGATTCGCGCGAGGGCGCCGCGGCCGTCATTTTTGCGGGTCCAGGTCCGCGGGTTTCGGTCCCAGGCCGTTGTCACTAAGGGGCGGTGTACGAAAGGGAGGTTTGTCCACCGCCGACTCTCGCGCAGGAGGCTGGCCATCCGTGGCCGCCTCGGCCCGGGAGGCCAGCTCGGCGGGGCGAGGGTGCGGCGGGAGGCGCGCTCACCGTGCGCCTGGGCGCCGGTGGGGCCCGACGTGCACCATGGCTTGCGCAAGGACCTTTGGCCCTGCGCGCTGGTTCCCGCCCCAGGTGATGTCTTCAACCGTTCTGCGTTGCCTCTGCTGCTGTCGGTCCTCTCTTCGAGGGACTTAGGTCGTGCCGGTGACCCACGTCGAACTGGGGTCCGAGCAGATGGGGTCGGAGGATGGCGCCGTATCGCCGATGCGTTGACGATGCGGCTTGATGTGTAGCCCTATATTTCTCCATGCCGACGGTGCCGATGCATCGCCGACGTCGCCAATGCCGACGCATCGGCGATCGTCCGACCTGGTGATCCAGGTGGACAGGTTTTGAGGCTCTTGAGTCAAGGGGGGAAAACCACCCCGACCCCGATGGTTGGCGTTTACGAAACGGTTCTGGGCGTTTGCTAAGCAGCCCTGCCCTGTTCGATTCCTTCTTGGGGTGCGCTTGCTAAGCGCCTTGGCTTGGCGGGGTGCTTGTTGTGAGTTTTTTTTCCCCACCCATTCTGTAGGGGGGCCCGAGAAACGACCCTCAGCCCCAGCCAGGACCAGCTGGATCCTCAGGTCGGGAGTGGGGGTCCTGGCTGGGGGTGGGGGCGGGCTGTGCTGTCCCCATCGACGGCCCCGCAGCTGGGATCGGTGGCATGCCTCGCGACTCGGCGGCGCCCCCCCTTGGCATCCTCGCGTCGGGGAAGCATCAATCCCGACGCGGGCTGTTGGGGCCTTCTTCGGCCTTGGGGGGCCCCTTGCTGCCGCCTCTCGTCCATCGGATCTGGACCTGGGCTTGCGCCCGATCTCCGCCGGCACGTCATGACTGATGTAGGAGAAAAGTGGGTGTGCACTGCGGGTGAAAACAGCTCCTCATCCCAGGGGAGTCCAAGATCAGAGCGGGAGAAGGTACCGATACCGCTACCCTTCCCTCGTTTTCTTTTTTCTGGCCTCCCGTGAGGCCCTCGTCGTCCTGACTGGATTCCCTTCAAGCTCCTGGCCAGACCGCATCCCGGGAAAGGTCCAGTGAGTTGCGGTATCGTCATGTTGTGGTTTCCCGTGGGGACTACGGGGATGTGGATTGAATTGCCTGGCCCATCAAACCGCCCAGATGTCATGGATTCTCCTTCTTCTTACGCACCGAGCGCGTTCCACTACTCGCGACGTGCCTACTCGCAAACGGCTGAACAAAAAGCATGTATTCCTTCATGTAACGGATCGTACATCACTCGCGGCGGATCCAGGCCATTTGCGAGTAGTTACTCTTGCGTGTAGTGGAACGCGCTTGTCCACTTTCAGTTCACTCCGTGCCCCCCCTCTCGTCCGCGCGCATCCTTCTGGCCACGATGCGATCTCCCCCCCTTCCTGGCCCCCTGTTCGGCGCACCTGGTCACGTCCCCCTTTGGTTTGCCCAGCTTCTCACCACCCGCCAATACCACCCCGACCCAACCCGAAGGCTCAGATTTACCCTCGAATTCCAGTGGGGGTGGGGGGGTGGGGAAACATCGACAAAACCACGCGGGGAACCCTTACCCCCCCCCAACCCGAAATTCGGGTCTTCGGGTTGGGTTGGGGTGGTCTGGCAGGTAAGTCAGCTCTGGGCCTCGCTGCGCGCGGCTCCGAGCGCGAAGCGCCTTCCGTTCGCCGTCGGCGGCGGCCCGAGCCGCAGGATCTCAAGAATTCCAAGTACCCCGAGGGCAGGTTAGAGAGTGCGCTCAAGGCGCTGCAGCGAGGAGGAGGAGGAGGAGGAGGAGGAGGAGGAGGAGGAGGAGGAGGAGGAGGAGGAGGAGGAGGAGGAGGTGGAGGAGCAGAAGGAGGAGCAGGAGGAGGAGCAGGAAGAGCGGGAGGTGCGAGCATGAGGAACGACGAGCAGGAAGCAAGCACGGGGGCACGAGACACGAGCAACTGAGCAGAGTGGGCAAGGAGGGATACGAAACGAACGGGAGTTGCTGTGTGCATTGCCTCGATACAAGTCGCATGGCATCTTTGCGCATTGGGTTTCATGCACATCCGCCCATGCGTTGAGATGACTTGAGCTTTGTGCTACACGTGCATCGGCAGGCATACTTGCAATGTGTGTCGTCGTCTTTGAGCTATCGGGCCATTCATCAGTCATGATTATCGGTTTGACTCGACATGTTCATACATACACATCTGGATGTATGTATCTTTTCCTATATACATGCGAACAAGTGGCACGTGCGTGGCCAGACTCTTGCAGCAAACAACTTTAGCACGTAGTCATCATAGAACATGGCTACATAAAGTTGAGTCTGGGGAGAGGGACGGGGAATGAACAGATGGATCAGCAGAGGAAGTATGAAATGATGAGGATAATGGGGATCACCAGATGGTAATTGGAAATGAGCTGGAATTGCGGGGTTGCTGTCGAATGCAGGTGGGGTTGTCACACCTTGCGATTCGTGTGGCGCAAAAAGGGTTTTCACACCTTGCGATGGCAGTTGAAAAGGAACTCCGAAATAAATGTTTGTGGTATGCCTGTTGTTTTTGAGAAGCACGTTGAGTATGTCGGGTCTCAGTTCTGGGAGGATACATGATCCTTTGCCATGTTGGCTCAAGACGAAGTGTGGGCACTGGTCCACTGCCAATCCTCAGGCCAAGAGACTTCTCAAGCTCGGCGAGATGCGCGAGCTCGTTCACATCCAGGGCGGCCAGCGCGGTAGCCAGACAGGAGCTCAGCTACCGCAAAGTGGTGATCTGTGAAGCGTGCGGTCCTTCGAGATGGCAGCGACTGAAGCTGAGACTCGGGTGTCCGGGCAGGGAGTCCATAAGTGGCTCACGTGGCAGCTTGTCCAGCGCCTTCCACACAAGGTGGTAAACCTAGGTATGCCATACCGGCGCGGCTTTCGTGTTCACTGTGTAGCGGCTGGAGGTAACCCTGCACCCAATGACAGCGGCACTGGGGTCTCGGCGTTCTGCCCCTCCGCGCAAGCCGAGGGAGGTCCGCACAATCTAGTGGTGGGAGTGCACCGGTGCCAGAACCCTCAGCCCACCTGCAGTTCGCCAGATATAGTGTCATCCCAGTGTCGTGAGGAAACCCAGACGGAGGAACCTGCGGGTGTGGCTCGCGGGACCCTTACGAGCAAGCCCTCCGTCGGGTGCAGGATAGTGCCTAAGGTCGCTAGGTGGTGGTTCATGTTAGCTGTGCCGGAGGGGTGGTCTACAGAGACCTTTCTCGCCCCCGCCGAGGTGACTTCAGCAGGTGAGCATGGGTCTGCGAACGTGGGGCCGACCTCCCCGTGGAGTTTGTGGGCTTGCCGGTGACGGTCAGGCAGAGTGGCCCGGATCTCGTGCTGCTGGCTCTAATATTGGCTCTGTTCATACCAGATCCAGAGCCTGCATTGGTGTGAGTTTCCCCTATGCCGTCGAGGTGCTTTACGTGTCCATCGGCTCCTGGTACCGGGTGCTGGGTTTCTGCATGATCAGTGGCCGGCGTGAGTTGGCCAGCCGAGTTAGATACCAGACCGTCCACGACGATGTCATGGTCAGTCATTCGTGCATGTGCAAGGTCGGAGAGGCGGCGGAAGAGGTTGAGGAGCTTGAAGGGTTTGAGGCGGAGAGGGAAGCTTTTCTCACTGCCAATGCGATGCATGAAGCGGACTGTACGGCCAATGCGCGAACTATTGTACAAGAGTTCGGGATGCCTGCTCAGTGGACCAAGTCTGCTGGAGGGGGGAGGATGCCAAGGAAACTGCATGGCGCTGAGGGCGCCTCGGCGGCAAGGCAGAGGTGGAGGGCGAGGTTAGAAAGCAGGAAGATGGCTGAGGAGGGCGGAAGGTGCGTAGCTCCCCCCACCCGGGCGGGTGCACAGTACTGGACGCCCGGGACTCCAGCGCAGCCCTTTGTACACGAGGTGCGGGGAGGAGACGCAAGGGCAGACAGAGGAGGTGCCGCTGGAAGCGGGGAGGCGGCAGGGAGGTCGAGGTCGAGGACGAGGGCGGAGCAGGAGGCGGTTGGAATTCGGTGGCGCGCCGTTAGAAGAGACGGAGCACGCGGCTCCCGGTCACGGGACGCGGAAGAAGAAAAAGAAGAAGAAGAAGAAGAAGAAGAAGAAGCGGAGGAAGACGGCTATGCTCAGCACGTCGTCGGAACACTCTGATGAGGGGAGGCCGGGATCTACCCTACGGGTGCCCGACCATGAGGGCACCGGCTTGCTGTTCCTACAGATCATCCGGCGCAGCACCGCGGATAGGGCATATCTGGCGAGGCAGCGGGGACTCATCGGCAATAGTGAGGAGTCCTTTGCACACGTCGAGCCCAGGGCGAGGAGGCAGGAGGTTGAGGCTGAGGAGGGGGTGGGCACCCGCACAGGCGGATCCCACCAGGAGGGAGGAGCTCGAGGGATGGGTGGGTGCACCCGCACAGGCGGATCCCACCGAGGATGAAGCGGAGCAGGTGGATACGCTCGCACAGGCGGAATCCACTGACAGGGAGGCCATGTCCGACTCGGAGACCATAGGGGCGCTGGAAGCCATCCGGGAGGAAGACGACGAGAGGGCAGGACTCCAGGGTTTCCAATCCACGCCCGCGATCGATGCGGAGATGGAGCGACAGGCAGAGTATGAGGAGTACGCAGAGTGAGAGTGTGAAGAAAACTGGAAGGGAGAGGAGGTGCGAAGAGAGACGGCTGAGGCCCTGCGAGACGCAGAGCAGGATGGGGGAAGAAGGATGGAGGAAGAAGGATGGACAGGTTTACCTGGGAGAGCCTCGGATGAGAGCGAGAAGACTACGACATCCTGGATCTCCCGGAGAGGTTCCCGCGAGGAGGAGGGAAGAGACAGGAGCGGAGGAAGGAGCAGAATGAGCAGATCCAGAGGGTGGTGGCCGAAGCAGTGGCGGCGACCATGGCTGCAATGCACGCCGTCCCTCAAGGACAGGGACCCAAGGCAAAGGCGAAGGGGAGGGCGAAGGCGAAATCAGATGCCAAACAAGCGCAGGACAGGAGGCAGCCTGAGGACAGCGATGCCAGACGCGGATCCTCGCGCCAACGAGTGGCGTCCGCGTCGCTTGAAGAACTCGCGGCACTAGAGGATGTCCTGAGGAAGAGGAAGGAGGAGTTGGCCGACGACGGTAAGGAGGACGAGGGTGAGGAAGAGGAAGAACCCCAAAAGAGACGACCGCGACCACGACGACGACGACGACGACGACGACGGCGACCACGATGACGGTGGCGGCGACGACGACGACGGTTGCGGTGTTGGATCTTACCAAAGTGCGGTCTGATTATTTCCGGTGGTGGATCTGACCTAATTGTGATTTCGGTCTGTCCCGTGACGACGGCGGCGACGACGACGGCGACGACGACGGCGATGACGGCGGCGGTGGCGGCGGTTGCGACGACACGACGACGGCGGCGGCGGCGGCGACGGGGGGGAGGATTGGTCACACCTCGTCCCCTGCGCGATGGGGGGGTGGTCCCGACCTGCCCGTGGTCGGGGGAGGGGGGTCCGCCTTTTTTCTCGGGGAGCGTGGCCCACCAGTTTCTGAGGCCCCCTTCCTGATTCTTGCCGGAGGGGTGGGGGTGCCACCCGGCTTCCGAGGCCCCCGTGAGTGTTCCGGGCCGGCGACGGCGGATCTCGTGCCAGCGGAGCGCGGGCACCCCAGCGCAGAGCCGCAGTCTTCACGAGGGGGCTGTGGTCCCGGGAGGTCGGATGCAGCATCAGTGTTCCTCTACGAGGGAGTGGCTGGGGGCGGAAAAGAGGGGGATGATGACTAGGGGGGGGGGGATATCATGGCGTGGGCCATGATATTTCCCCAGATTTCATGGCGCCTCTTCTTCTTTCATTACGTCCCCGGCCCCCCCGCTGGGCCGCGCATAGGCCGCCGGTCATGCTTTGCACCCCCCCCTCTTGGACACCCCCCTCTTGGCCGCTCCCGAGAGTGGCTGGGGGGGGCGGGGCACGCAGCTGGAGGCGGCGAGAGGGGTGGGGGGCTCTTTGGAGTATGGCAAAACTCCACCCGACAGCAGTCGACACTCTGCGACGCCTCGGCGTGCCTGGGGGCACGGTGGCGGATCCCCGTGTGGCAAGCCACGCCCGTCGCAGGGTTTCTTTGCACACCACAAAAGACTTCAGGAGTATTCGTGATGAGGCGAGGGCGTGTGGGGAACAGAGGGGCACAGAAACACGTTGGAAGGGGAAGGGGGGCCACGGGCCCTTACCCCCCCCCGACCCCCTGCCCTTCGCTCCCATACCTCCCGCATCCTCTCTCTCCTTCGCCCCTCCCCGTTCCTGAATCCCTCTCCCGGCCTCCTACGTGACCCCTCATGCTTTTTCCTTAGCGCAGGAGGGACGGGAGGAGGAGGAGGAGGTACATGATCAAAGACAGGTGGATGTGGAGGATGGGACGCAGGAGGATGGAGCGGAGGAGGAAGAGGAGGAGGACGTAATTGGGGGGTCCGAAGACGACGACCGTCCCTCATTACCTAGCTGTACCTCTTCCAATTTCTCAGCGCTGCGAGGCGGACCTGAACAAGTACAGGCAAAAGCTGCACGACGCCAGGGTGCCTGGGGCTCTGTCTTCGTGTGCTCTACTATGCGGTACAGTGACTAGGTAGCGCAATCTAGAGGTTACAGCCTCATCCACCTGGTGTCAGCCAGGCCCAGGCCCTTGTCCTCAGTGGTGGTTGTTCGTTCGTTCGTTCGTTTCACTGGCCTTGCGCGTGTATCGAAGGGTTCATACCGAAGCCTCGATGATCGCGCTAGAGGAGGTGGGGTCCCAAGGCTAGTTACTTTGCAACCTCCCGGGGTGAAACCGCTCGGCGTGTGGGAGAAGCATACGAGCAGATGACGAGTAGAGAGAGTCGAGGATGAGTTAGTTGTCGGAGGAAAAGGACTGTGTGCAGGAGGAGGTGGAGGAGCGGGACAGGGGTGATGCTGATGCTGATGCTGAGACTGCTGCTGCTTAATGATGATGGTGGTGGTGGTGATGATGTCAATGATCATGCTGATGGTGATGGTGTTGTTGATGCTGGCGATGATGGTGGTGGTGGGGTGATGGTGATGCCGATGCTGATGCTGATGCTGCTGTTAATGATGAGGAGGATAATGAGGATGAGGATGAGGAGGAGGATGCAGAGTAGGACGATGATGAGGATGAGGATGTTGATGCTGCGGATGATGATGATGATGCTGATGATGCTGATGCTAGCGATGATGCTGATGCTGATGATGATGAGGATGCTGCTGCTGATGATGATGATGACGATGCTGCTGCTGATACTGATGCTGATGCTGATGCTGCTGCTGATGATGTTGTTGCCAATGATAAATGATGCTGATTATGCTGATGCGGCTGCTGCTGATGATGTTGAAGACGACGACGATGATGATTATGCTGATGATGACGATGCTGATGGCGGTGGTGGTGATGTTTATGATGGTGATATTGATTATGCTGATGATGATGGTGGTGATGATCATGCTGATGATGATGGTGATGATGATGATGTTGATGATGATGATGCTGATGATGATGATGACGATGATGATGATGCTGATGATGATGATGATGATGATGATGATGATGACGATGATGGGGAGGAGGAGGAGAAAGCGCATTCTGGCGAGGATGATGACGGAGGGGAAGGAGAAGGAGAGCCAGAAGGAGATTTGATTGGATTCCCCTTTCAGCGCGATTGCTTACCACGCGTGCTAAGGACCTGCAGAAGCAGACAGCATTTGCAGAGTGCTCGGCTCGGCGACGGACCAGAAAACGACGCTCACGACAAGCAGCCGGGGCGCTAGCTCACTCCCACCCGCCCTCCCAACACAAAAGTAACACCCGAGCCTCAGCATGTTCCGCGGTCGTTTTTTGATGGACAGCTACTGGGAACCAAAACCGAGTCCATGTGCGCGACGCTGGGGCGAAGTGTGTCACGCGTGGCAGGGGCGCCACGCGCGCCAGGCACCCCTGGGTCCCGAGCGTGCCAGGCACGCCTAGTCTGCCACATGCTCACTCCAGCCGCGCAAGGTGAGCCACGTCCAGGGCACGTGCAGAGTGTGTCAGGTGCGCCTGCGCACATGACAGCACACATCGGGAAACATGTCGGCCCCCACCATCCCTGTCGAGAGCCAATGCCCATCGTTGTGTCTGGTGGGCTTGCGCACAGCAGGCCATACACCACCATCCCCGCCGTCCTTGACACAAGCCACTTGACAATGATCGCGAGGTGGCCGCGCACTGTCCACATTTAGCCGCGAGGTGCATTTTGTATTGTGTGCTTGTCAGGGATGGTAGCCCTGCGCGCAGCAGGCAATATGCTGACACCCCCGCCGTCCCTATCGAAACACAACACATGCCCGCGGGCCTCACGAACATGACTCCAGACTTTGCCCAAAACTGTGCCGTGTATGGTTTCTTGACAGGGATGGCGGGGGGGGCCTGCATTGGGTTGGTCTCGCACAGGGATATTGGAGGGGGGCCCTCATGATGTGCGCATGGTTCCAGGTTGGCTGCCGGCCGGGTGGGGGAGGTTTATTCATAGGGAACAGTGATCCAGCTACCCACCCGCCCGCAAGCCGTCTTGCTCACTCCCACCCGCCCTCCCTACGCATAAGTAACACCCGAACCTGAGCATGCTCAGCGGTCGTTTCTGGATGGGCAGCTATTGGAAACCAAAGCTGACCTCAGGTGCGCGACGCTGGGGCGAGGTGCGCCACGCGTGGCAGGGGCGCCACGCGCGCCAGGCACCCCTGGGTCCCAAAGCGTGGCAGGCACGCCTAGTGCGCCAGATGCGCCACGTGCTCCGAATGCGCCAGGTGTGCCGCACACTCCAGCCGCGCAAGGTGCGCCGCGTTCGGGGCACGTGCAGAGTGCGTCAGGTGCAGCACGCATCGGGAACCATGTCGGCCCCCGCCATCCTTGTCGAAAACCGATGCCCATCATTGTGCCTGGTGGGCCTGCGCACAGCCACGCGCCACCACCCTTACCGTCCCTATCAAAAACTACTTGACAGTGATCGCGGGATGGCCGCGCACTATCCACATTCAGTCGCGAGGTGCATTTTTTTTCTCAGGGATGGTAGCCCTGCGGACGGCAGGGAATATGCTGGCACCCCCGCCGTCCCTGTCGAACAACAATACAGGGTGCCCGCGGGCCTCACGAGCATGACTCCAGACTTTGCCCCACATTGTATTTGGTATTTTTT